TCCGAACAAATAGTGTTGAACAAATGCACTGTTAACATATAATTCAGTAACCATGTATAATGAGGCAAAACCACTAACCTCTGTGGACTTGTCATTTGTGAAAAAGATTACATTTTCTGATCTGAAAGGAGGATAAAAATCTGGGGAGAGAAAGAGCTTTGATTGCATCCCTGTGTTCGATTGACCCTGAGGTAATTTTAGCGGAGTCCAAGTTAAAGTTCCTATCTCCATAATGGCCAGTGTTGTCTGTTGTCTTGATGATTTATTGTTTCATTATTGTTCCCATCAGTGTTTGAGAGTTTCACAAAGCTTTCCTACTCCAGCACTGCCATTTTTTTCCACATCCGAGCTCAGCTTTCCAGAGAGTTGGTGGTGTCATTAGCTCAAAAAAGGCTATTTGCATAACAGTCTTAGATGGACTTACAGTGTTATGTAACATCTATAGTATTAGGAACACAAATGCTGCCCTCTTCCTAATAGAAACATTAGGAAGGACAGAGTATTTATGGGAGCTACAAAAAAGTAATATTAGTCAGACTGACAATCTGCCTTATTTCATCTGGTCCCTAGAATGAATGTGTGCTCTAAGCAAAGTAGTATTTTTATAGACACAAATGAGTTTGTCTTCATCTATGTATTTGTTTATTAACTAAAGAAGTGCTTGTCTGCTGGACACAGGCATTCGGGAATTATCCTTTTAAAGTTTCAGTGCCATGTGTAGAACTTGCAATACATACATAGATAAGACATCTGGGTAGTTTGTGGCATAGAGCTGCTTATACTTGCATGAAAAAGAAAAGGCGCTTACCAGTTATTTTATTCAAATATTCAGCTCTAAATTATAACAGTGAGATTCTTTTTTGAGTACAGTCACTCTGTTAAATAACACACACGCTATTTCCTAGAGGTTTCTTGCCTTGGCTTCCAGCTACATTAAACCCATAAATGAATTCCCGTGTAACATGCTCCTTATTGGCTATCGGGGAGTGCGAACCTTGTAATTATGCTAGTCTATATTATGGCCCTGATTTGTTTAATTCATAGATTCAAGGACTGGAAGGGACCTCGAGAGGTCATAGAGTCCAGTCCCCTGCCCGCATGGCAGGACCAAATACAGTCTAGACCATCCCTGATAGACATTTATCTAACCTACTCTTAAATATCTCCAGAGATGGAGATTCCACAACCTCCCTAGGCAATTTATTCCAGTGTTTAACCACCCTGACAGTTAGGAACTTTTTCCTAATGTCCAACCTAGACCTCCCTTGCTGAAGTTTAAGCCCATTGCTTCTTGTTCTATCCTTAGAGGCTATGGAGAACAAGTTTTCTCCCTCCTCCTTATGACACCCTTTTAGATACCTGAAAACTGCTATCATGTCCCCTCTGTCTTCTCTTTTCCAAACTAAACAAACCCAATTCTTTCAGCCTTCCTTCATAGGTCATGTTCTCAAGACCTTTAATCATTCTTGTTGCTCTTCTCTGGA